TGGTGTATGATGTCAAATACGCACTGAAAAATTGATTTGAAAAATTTATAATTGTGAATTTTGTGCAATAGGTAATGCTTATAACTTGGCCATTTTTGAAGATATTTAGCTACAACTTGCTACAGTAAGTCATAAGCATGTATTCTAGCACATACCTATATTCCAGGTTTTTCGAAAAGTCAAAAAGTTTTTTTTTGAAAAAAAATATAAAAACATAAATTTTGAATTCTATGATATGTTATTTTCAAAATTTTCAAAATTTTGAGAATCCGAGATAGCAGTTTGATAGCACAGTCTATCCTGAGTCCTCTCATGCAAAGAAATTGGATCTAGCCCAAAAGCTGAGCTCTTGGGAGCGATTGTCGTGGTCACAGGGGAGCACTGCCGCTTCAACCCTATTGGCCGTAGTGTCTAACGGTGGCGGCCATATTGCGCAGACCAGGAACCGGCTGCCGCCTGTGTTGAGGAATAGGGAATTCGGGACCTCGATTTACGTTTGCGGCCGCCGTATCCGTAACGATCAAGTTACGTAAATACGGAGCCCGGCATCTTACGCAGAATTGAGTGGGGAACACGATCGTATCTTCAGAATTCCTTAAATTTACTCGCCGGACCTACATTTGCCCCGGCCGAGGGGGTTGATTGAACCCACCTCGCTAATGCACCGCTAATTAAACTAGAATTAAGCGGTAAAGTGGTCGTATGCGGCAAAGTATAATGCAGAGTGACTGGTAGGAACCCGCTTTAAAGGTCTCAGGTCAACCGGTGACCTCTGAGGTCAGGTCAAGTGATCTAAGGCACGGGTTCGGTTTTTGGTAAATAACTTCGCCAAAAATGGCCGTAGAGCCGCGATTTTTGCATCATCGTGTTCAGCTAGCTCGGGCGCATCGAGTGATATACTTTTTGTTCGGGTCAGGTCAACTTAGGGTGTTGACCTCAGGTCAAGGTCAGGTCAGCACCCCAGGTCACGAAGTTGGTCGAAAGAGGTCATGTCGCATATCATTCGATTCGGCAGGTCTTCCTGAGTCCATTGGTGGCTTTCCCGACTCGCTAGCTCAATTTGATCGGGAGTTATTGAAGGAAAATTGTGACCTTTGTGACGTCACAAATGACGTCACGCAAGGGCAACAATGCAAATATGAAGCATAGAACCTTGCAAGGAGTGCATGAAATCATGATTCTATATGCTTGAGATAGTTTCAGATCATTCTCGGCGCCAAAATAGCAATTTTCATATTTCCCCATTGACTTATAAGGGTTTAACGTATTAGTTCCTTGTATCTGAGGATTTTTTAGTATTTCATCTTGTTCTCCACTCAATTCTGCGTAAGATGCCGGGTTCCGTGTCCACATAGCTTGAACGTAACGGATGCAGCGACCGCAAACGTAAATCGAGGTCCCGAATTCCCTATTCTCCAACACAGGCGGCGGCCGCTTCCTGGTCTGCGCAACATGGCGGCACCGTTGGACACCATCTGGCGGCCGATGCGCCTTCCACATTATATATCGGGGTTACATGAGCACAGTAAATACGTATTTAGCCGCTAATGCGAATTAGGAACGCATTACCGACTCATGTAGCCACCTGCTAGTACGAATCGGCGATCCGAACCGCGGTTACATGAGCAAAGCAAATACGTATCACGATCGGATTCACCGCTAATGCGAATCAGGAACGTACTACCGACTCATGTATCCACTTGCTAATACGAATCGGCGGTCCGAACAAAATCCGCTGAGAAAGCAGGCTTAGGAGCGAATAGGACCAAGATACGTATTACAGGAACTATTACTTCCCAAAAAGAAGCCCTAAAATGAAAAATACAAGGTATTTTGTCATTTGTTGCTTTTGAAATGAAAAGTTAAAAAATATTTAGGTATTTTGTCAAGTTTTCAAAACAAATATGATGAAAACAAAAAAAGAAAATACCTAAGAACTTTCAGTGGAAACATTTTTCTGACAGCACTACAGACGAATCGAGAGAGGCAAGTGAGCAATAAGTCAAAACAATACAACTTTATTTTCAACTTTTTTCTATAGTTAACTTAGAATGTTATGAGCAGATGAAATGCAAAAAAAGACATAACATATTAAATTATCAATTCAGTCACCTCTATTGCTACGGAAATGCGCCACATTTGTATGCTATTCCGTTTGTAATGCGCATCGGGCCGAGAGCCAAACTAGATCCGTTTGACGTCACTAAAACGAATTTGCTCATGTAGTCGGTGCCGTGAATAAGTTCTAGGGGAGCTGATGCGAATTAGCGTAGTACGTACTACGTATTTGGAACGGATCGCTCATGTAGCCGAGGTGCACGACTCAGACCGGAACTGGACGTATTTCACAAGAACTATTCTTTGCTGAATGGAAGCGTCAAAATGCAAAATAATAAGCATTTTTTATTGAATGCTTTGTAGAAAATAGCAAAAAAAATGTTGATATTTTGGTTTAGTCTTTGAAGGTGAATTTGGTAAATAGCAAAAATAAAATGAATGAAATATTTTGATGGATAAATTTATTCTGACCATCCTGCTGTCGCTGCATGGCTAATCAGTGCTCAGTGATTTAAAACACGAAAACTTTGTTTTCAATTTTTGATTTCATGTTTACTTTTAATGTTTTTGAGCATATCAAATGATGTTATATCGTTCAATAATTAAAATTTAGTTCGGTCGTCCCGGTAAATGCCGCAACTGCGCCATGACTGTACGCTAATCCTATTCCGTTTGTGATGCGAATTACCGGCCGTCGAGGAGTCAGCCCGGGTGAGCCAAACAAGATCCGTTTGACGTAGATAAAACGAATTAGTCTCATGTAACCGGTGCCGTAGATACGTTTGTGGGGAGCTGATGCGCATTAGCGTAGTGCGTATTTGGAACGGATCGCTCAAGTAACCCCGGTAAAAGAGTTCAGTGGTCGTCGTTCAATGTTTTGCGTCGAAATCGGCCGAATATGACGTTACTCTGACGTCATTTCCAGCCGACCTATGGTAGCTACGAAGTTCATATTTTGACACAAGTTTCACATTGATGCAGCCGAAGGTACTGAAAGTTTGGCGGCGATACGTCAAGCGCTTTGGAAGGAGGGGGGCTATGAATAGCCCCCCCCCCCCCAGTGGGACGCGGGTAGAACCGTCCGGAGTCGGAGTCGGAGTTGGAGTCGGAGTCGCAGTCGATTTTTGAAGCCGGAGTCGGAGTCGGAGTCGGAGTCACCCTAAATTACATCGACTCCGCAGCCCTGGCCTTAGGAGCCAATCGCCAGGGGGTCGTACCAACCTCCCCCCTGGCCGCCCGCGTTATGAAAAAGGCCCTGGCCTGGCGGGGATTAAAGCGCGTGAATTTTTATTTTCACCTATGCCATTTGATTCACTTATAGTCATCATGCTTTACGACAGGATGGCGGAAGTATGAAACCAAAACCATTGAATTTTTCTTCGCGTCCCAGTCCGTTGCTGTAACTCATCGTAACTTTAACCGCCACTTTGTCGACCAAGGCTCCTTCAAGGAGCATAATATTGCGGCTAGCTGATAAAATTAAGAATGAAGGCATTGTTGACCAGGCATTCTCCGTGGTACGGCTTTCTAACGTCAGAAAACCTCAAACAGTGGAAGTTGGAACAAGTTGCTCACATGCCTCCCGGGAGAAGCCAGCCAGGTCAGTGTCAGCACACCTGTCCTGTCCCCTCTGATTTTTTTTCTTTGGGCCCCATGAACCCCAGGGGACCATTAGAGCGAAGGAAAACAAAAGTAGTTAGTGCATAAAGCAGCAGACAATAGCAGCGGTTCAGCTGGAGAGACTGGTGGTCCTTCCTGCCCCACCTTGTCGGTCCGTCTTACCGACATTCCCCTACAATTACTGTGAGATCAATCTTAGCAGGCTGCGCGGGGCTCTAGACGTTCGTTTTCAATTGTCACGCTACGCCTGACGCTCAGCTCTGCCCTCTCTCATTCCTCTCCAACCAGGCTCTTCGCCCTCTGGTCTCCCTCCCTCTCTCTTCTCTCACCCCTCTCTCCTCTTTTTCTTTATTCTTCTCTCCCTCTTCCAAAGAGTTCGTTGTCAGTTTTGTATATTTTCATTGAAAATATATACAACAATGTGGTACAAGAGATGACCCATGCTCGCGCGATGATGGCAGCGCCTTCCAGGTCCGTAGTCTGGCCAGCAGACGGGTGCACCCGTACCCAGGCGGGTGTCCCACAGCGCCGACTGCGCGGCCACCCCCCCCCCCCCCCCCACACACACACCGGTGACCAGCACTCAGGCACAGCCCGATCTCGTGAAAATGGCTCAGACACACCCTGTGACAGTGACTCGGACTCGGACCCGTGGTATAGACATAGAAACATTCGGTATTACACTCACCCGCATCACATTAAAAACCGCGCGGCTCCATCCGTCCGCAGCACCGTTCATAGTGCGCGCTCCGCGAGCTCGGTGCCGTCCTCAGAGGCCGGCCGAGCGGACCGAGCGGCTCGGAACACCACTGGCAGACGCGCGACTGCCTCTGTGAGCAACACATATCGCTCGGCTGAGCTCTGGCTTTGGTTTCACATGGAGATTTGGCTCGGTAAAAGACACCGGTCGGCTGATTCCACTGCATGACTGGTCTACGACTGGGGCCGTTGACTAATTGGCTAGATAAGATAAGATCACGCTTCCTTCTCTCGACTACGTCATTCGGGAAAGCTCGGGTACCATGATTACGTGTGAAAGACCTCAGTCTGTTAAGCATTTCGTCATCACATGGGCTAACATGGGCTGCGTCACACAGCCGGCGCCGTGGGGCGGACCAAGGCGACCATGGGGGTTCCGCCAGCACCTCTTTGTACGGACACGGCGCTGCAGGCTAAACATTGCACGTACCTCGCGTAACACAAATTACACACACGCATACAGAACGCACCGAGCAGCTGCGCTGAGCGCCGCCAGCCGGCAGCCTTTGTACTGTAGAGGGCGCGTCGGCCAGAGGGGCCGCCACCGCCGCCGCCGCCAGCGCTCACCGGCGGCCGGCGCTGCGCAGCGAGTAGACCGGCAGCGGCTGGCCGGCGGCCTCCACCACCACGCGCGGCCCGTCGCCGCCCAGCTGGGACGGCCACCGCGCCCCGGACGGCTCCGGCGCGCGGAAACGGCGCCTCTTCTTCGGCGGCAGGTGCGGCGAGGTGTCGGCGGCCAGCGCGGCGGCGGCAGCAGCGGCGGCGGCGCGGCGGGGGCGCGCCCGCGACGGCCCCGGCTCCTCGTCACACGGCGACACCCACGAGCGTTTCATGGAGGGCCGCACGGGCGGCGCCGCCGCCGCAGCGAGGTCCGCCGGAGAGTCTCCCGGCCGGCCGAGCGCAGTGTGCAGCCGAGCCGAGCTGTCCGAGAGCTGCTCAGACGTCCCCGAGTTGTGGACCTCCTCGAACGCTGAGGCGGCGGGCATCCCGACTGGCGAGACGAACAGAGCGGCATCCCGCTCGGCCTGCGTCCAGGACCGCTCGGCGGATGACGGGGGTGGAGGCGTGGGCGGGGGCGCCCAGCTTTTGATCACAGAACGCGATGCGGAAGCCGCCGGTGAGCCTCTGTTGGAGCCGGCGCCTCTTGCAGAGCTCAGAGTCTTCTCCGGGGTCACAGAGAAGGACGACTCGCCCTCGAATTGTGACGAAGTGCATGACTGCTCAGCCGGAGAGAGCAGCTCCCAGGCGCGGCCAGCCGCCGGCGAGCGCTGCTCCTGATCGGGCGTCTTCTCTGGTGAGGGTGACAGCGGCGAGTCGCGCTCAAAGCGGGACGGTGTGCACGACTGGTAGGCCGAGGAGAGCGACTGCCAGGCCTCCCCGCTCCACTCAGCTGACTGAGAGATGGACGAGTCGCCCTCGAGCCGCAGCGAGTGCGGCGGCGTCTTCTCTGGTGAGGGCGACAGCGGCGAGTCGCGCTCGAATCGGGACGGCGTGCACGACTGGTGGACCGTCGACAGCGACGACTGGTGGACCGTCGACAGCGACGACTCGGAGTGGTCGGCCTCCGGGCGCGGCGGGGACACGGCGGCGGCGGCCAGTCTCCTGGTGACGCGCCGCGCGGCCGGCGGCGGCGACACCTCGTCCAGTTGCAGCCGGCGTCGGACACTGGCCACCGGCAGCAGGTTGGGCATGGTGCGCGCCGCCGCTGGCAGCGCCGGCGAGCAGCGCGGCGGCGAGCACGGCTGGCTCGGCACCACGCGCACGCGCGGGAACAACTCAATCTCGGTCTTGACCGGCGTGGACGCGGCCATCGGAGGCGCCGCCGCCTCAGCGTCGTGCTCGACGTGCCGCTCGTCGATGGCGCTGTCGGAGCGGCTCTCAGACGAGGCGACGACGTCCGTCTGTCGGTGGCGGTCGGGCCGCCAGCCGCCGGGCATCAGCAGCACCAGGTCGTCGCTCTCCACACTGGTGTCCTCGGCCAGGATGGCCTCGTACTCGAGCAGGCCCGGCACGTCCTCGAGGGCCACGCAGGACTCCTCGGCTCCGCTGTGGTCGAGCGCCGCCTCCTCGGCGTAGCCTGCGCCGTCGGGCAGGTCGGCGCGGCTGTCCTCGCACTGGGAGCCCTCCAGGTCGGAGAAGTACCAGCCGGACGGCCGGCGCACGTAGTGGTAGTTCTGCGGGCACACAGAGACGGCCGGTCAGCGGCGGCGCTGCAGTGGCGGCGCTCTGCAGTCCGACCACGGCACAAATACGCGGTACAGGGCCGCTGCTCGGCCACACAGGGCAGTTAGAGGTGGGGCTCAGACACAGGACCAACTACAATATCGACCACTTTTATCGAGTTCTGATGTTTGAGACATGAAATACCAATACCTTCCCCCGGATTACCATTAGGTAATCTGCCTATCACTGTCCTGTCTTCATCCAGGAACACAAAATGGCAGGTACTCGTGTCCGATTGGACGATTAAAAAAAAAAACATGGCGACGCTATGGTCAAAAACGGCACGGCACGGCCCGTAGCACATTCAAAACAAAATGGCGCCGGCTCCCACTGCGGTAAGGAAAGAGAAGGGACACTACGTGACTTCGTCTCGACCAAACACATCTGTAAGGACAGGGCGCCAGCTGAGCCCTCGCCGGTGCCCCTCCCCCTCCCCCTCCCCCGGCGACGGCCGGCCGGTGCAGTAGGTACTCACGGCGAACCGGCTGGGACTGTCGAAGCCGCTCTTGTCGGGCGACTTGGCGCTGCTGGCCACTGACAGTCGGCCGGCGAACGCGGCCGGGATCGGCTCCACGTCGCGTGAGTCGTCGCGCTCGGCGTCGATGCGTCGGATGTCGAACGGCGGGTCGTCGTGGTCGCCGGTGGCGATCTGCTCAAAGTCCAGGTCCTGGCCGGGCCGGGAGGGGGGGGGGGGGGTGGCAGGTTAGAGTCAGACCCAGCGCCGGACACTGGAGTCCCAAGCAGGTGTCGCTTAGGAGGGGACTAAAATGTGCACAACGTGAAATTTTACCAATCGTTGCCGATGAAATGACCTAACAAAAGTAGGCGATTCACGACATCGATCAAATTTAGGTATAGATGATAGCGCACTAGAGTATTACGATCACAGACCCTCTGGCTCTGTCCTTATCCGGGAGGGCGCGTCACCCACCTGGAAGAAGATGTGTCGCGGGATGTCGTCGTTGGTGAGCCGGTGGCGCGGCGACACGCGCAGCAGCGCCTTGACGAAGCTGAGCGCGGCCAGAGCCAGGGCGCGCTCCTGGCGCGACAGACGGCCGAACTTCTCCTCCAGGAAGGAGCGCGGCACCTCCACCGCGCCGCCCAGGATGGCGCTGGGGGGGGGGGGGGGGGAAGGGGGTGTCAGTGCTGAGGCGGCCCCGCTGGAGCTGCCGGGTCATGTCACCGGTCACGCTCTGCCACATTGGGGCTGTGACTGAGGGGCAGGGCCGCGGGGAGGGGGGTGGGTGGACGGGGTAGGACCCGCGGGGTGGCGGTGGGTGGACGGGGTAGGACCCGCGGGGTGGCGGTGGGTGTACGGGGTAGGACCCGCGGGGTGGCGGTGGGTGGACGGGGTAGGACCCGCGGGGTGGCGGTGGGCGGACGGGGTAGGACCCGCGGGGTGGCGGTGGGTGTACGGGGTAGGACCCGCGGGGTGGCGGTGGGTGGACGGGGTAGGACCCGCGGGGTGGCGGTGGGTGGACGGGGTAGGACCCGCGGGGTGGCGGTGGGTGGACGGGGTAGGACCCGCGGGGTGGCGGTGGGTGGACGGGGTAGGACCCGCGGGGTGGCGGTGGGTGGACGGGGTAGGACCCGCGGGGTGGCGGTGGGTGGACGGGGTAGGACCCGCGGGGTGGCGGTGGGCGGACGGGGTAGGACCCGCGGGGAGGGGAGGTGGGTGGACGGGGTAGGACCCGCGGGGTGGCGGTGGGTGGACGCCGCTGACAGCTGGCCGCCGCCGACTGCAGGCCGCCAGACGGTGTGACGCACGCACCGCCACGGCAGCCGCCGGGGGCCAAGTGTCCGCTGGGCGCCAGCCCCGCGCCGCGCCGAAACAGCCGGACCGCTATTTTTACAGCCGGGGCGTCGGGCGGTCCGGCGGCGGCGGCCTGTGGCTCACTGTGGTGCGCTGTCCACTGTGCAGGGGCGGGATTCGGCCGCAGGCGCCAGCCCCGCGCCATCCCTTCACCAGGGGGTGGGGGGAGGCGGCAGCGGCGGGACATGGGCCACCGGCACGAGCGGCCGCGGTGGGGGAGGCGGCAGCAGCGGGACATGGGCCACCGGCACGAGCGGCCGCCAGTCGGCTCCGCTGCGCACACACGCAGCTCAGGGCGACCCTGCACACGCCGCCGGGTCCCGGCACACCGGTGACCAGGCCCGGGTCAGATACGGCCGGACCGCCGCGCTGGGTGACCTTCAGAGCGGGGTCCGCCGGTCACCGTCACTCTGCTACTCCGCGGCCAGCCGGGCCTCCACGTGGATAATTAGCAGTGCAGGATTGGTAATTAGAGGCAGAGCAGGACCCGCGCTGCACCGTTCCACATCACCTACAACCGAACCCGATACAGGACAAAACGGATACGGTGTCAGGTCTATAGGAGCTCAGAGAGTGCACGTACATTTGAACCCATGTATTGAGACCACGGAGGCGGGTACTAACCATTCGAGTTCGGAGATCTCCTGACCCCGGAACGGCAGCTGTCCCACGATCAGTTCGTAGGCGATCACTCCCAGGCCCCAGAGGTCGGCCTCCTGAAACAGACAGACAGACAGACGCACACGGTCAGCAGGCGCAGCCACTCGGACGGCGCGGCGCGCGCACTCAAAACTTTTTTACTACCTCCTGGAGAGTTCATTTTCATCAAACCCGCAAGATAATAGTATATTGAAAGGGTAACTCGCTGCTACCATTATGTGCATAGTAACGGTACGTGGTTAATATGAACTTATTCGCCAGCGAAGAGTATTATTACCATGTAAATATCAATATTACTCTCGCGATCCAGAACATCACGAAAACTCTTTCCTCCTGGGTATCGTGACTCGGGTACAGATAGTCGTTTCATGCGTGGATCTTGTTTACCCTCGTGAAGATGATATTTGAAATGGAAACAATCAGCCAATCAGAAACGAGATCGGCCGTTTGCGGTTTGAAGGCCGCGCGCATCTGTCAGTTTTCGGCCGTTGGTCTCCGAGAGCGGATGTGAGCAGTGTCGGTGCCGCGCGGCGTGGCCGTTGGTGATTGTGCTTGTGTGTTGTTCATCGCCTATAGAGCCTCTGTGGACATTTTATTGTAAGTACCGATGTGCTAGAGCATTGCGTGCCGTTGAGTGGTGCTAATTTGACCTGGTTAACAGGACCCCGTGCACGGCCACGTGGCCTAGTGTTGTGAGTACGTACATTAATTTTGTTGTGATGCTACAAGTTTATGCATTTTGTTGGTGACTTTGAAAAAGCCTTGCACTGTAGTGATCCAGTCTCATTATCTCACGCAGACGGGCGACCACCCAGGAACGCCGTCGCTCACTTCAAATATTGTGCGCTCTGCCTAATCCAATATGAGGGCGCTGAATGTCTTGTATTCATATTCAAATTGCATTCAAGTTGTATCGTGGTGTTTATTTACCGCTTGTGCATTGCTGAACGCTTTGTATAAATTTGTATGAATAAGTGAAGAGTCTCACAATGTTCATGGTTGGTGTGCCCCTCGTATTGTTTGTACGGAAGCCAAATATACCTACAGGGTGTCCCATAAGTTCCTTCTCACCTAAATTTTTCTTTTAGAGGCTCTCTTATTTAAAGCCACGCTTAATTTATTTTGTAACTGAGCTTTTGGGGTTGCCATGGCAACTGTGAATGTGCTCCACGGTAACTAATTCGTCTAGACAAAATATTTTTTGCCAGAGAGTTCACTTCCTGTGGAGACGGCTTACGCCACAACATAGAGGTCTCCGACACGGGAACGTCTCGGTATTTAGTCCACACTGGGCCATTCACGACGGTTGAGGGTGATTGAGGCCATCCAGTATGTAGCCAATGTCTGTCGCTAACTGGACGCACAGTCAACAAGTGACGCCGATGATTTGTCGGGAGTCAATCGCTGCAAGTTTACGCTCTTTTTTGTCAGCTTTCACGAGTGAGCCATGTGGCCAAAACTGTGTGGCGCCAAAATGGCCGTCAAAAAGGTCTTAGCGTTAGAAAGTTGGTAAACAGGCTTTTCAGGATGCATTACCAGCTGTCTAAGAGTATCATTTCGGGGTACCTAACTCAAGGTGACTTAAGCTCTACTTACCGGAGGGCTCAAAACAGTCAAAAACGTCTTAAAATGGCCAAACATGTGTTTCGTTATGCCTGAGGCTAAAAAACTGAAGGGCCGATGACATCAATGTGGTCATCTGGACTACCTAGTCCGTGCTCGAGATAAACCACCGGTGCAAACCCCAAATCGGTCCCATATGGGTGACGTAAAAGGCTTTTTTGTCATCCCGCTTTATTCCTATGCAAAAGGCCAGGGTCACGGTAATGTGGGGTAATATACGTCCAGACGCTGATGCACAATGCGATTGATACTCCAGAAACAGTCTTGGGACGCAGAATGCTTCTCCAAGAAGATCTAGTAGGAGTTTCAGCTTTCTAGCTTAACTCGAACCGCAAGTATGACCACATCTTTTTAGGAGAAAATGGCATCCGGGAGGTCGTAGGCTCATCTTCAAGCACGACAGTGCATCAGTGCACAGGTCAAGCAAAGCTTAGAAGCAGTGCCAGGAGACTGTGATAGGCGTGTGTGGTAAGATCACATCCCAGCCAACTCATCGGATCCAAATTTCATAAAAATGTGTTGGGAATATAGAAATCGAGGCTCGTCGAAGCGAAGCGGTGTTTCAGCATTGAGGAGCTCACGGCGCATGCCAAGTCAGTCTGGGCTAACTTCAAGCCTGCTATGCTGCCAAACATGCCAGTTGGCATGTCGCAGCATGTATTCATGTGTTTGCCTATGAAATGGGGAGCACATTGAGGGGTTATAAACATATCAAAACGCAATGTACTCTGTTTTACATGCAAATATAAGGTGAGAACGAACTTATGGGACACCCTGTACATTGTTGCTCTTGAAGCATTTTTTTTTTAGTTGGTGAGCTCCGGTTAACAGAAGCTTCGTGAAGCTTCTGAAGGAAGCGTCTGTGGGTCTGTTACCATCCTCTGGGGGGTTTACACTAAAGGAAAGAGTAAACATTACCATGTGACAAAGGGTAGGCCATAAGAATATACTCTCTGTAGGAGGGTAAAGCACAGAGTAGATGATGCGTTACTCCCTAAAAAAGGGTTCCGTTAAAGATTTACCCTTTCAAAGAGTGTAACCCAAAAAATGTTACACTCTAGACAAGAGTAAATTAAAAGAGTTTACCATTCAGAAGATGGTAAAAAACGTCTGTGTGTCATGTTACCCCTCCCTGGCGAGTTTACTCTTCATGAAAGAGTAAAATTTACCATCTGGAAGGTGGTAAAAAACGTCTGTGTGTCAAGCTACCATGCTATGGCGGGTTTACACTTCAGGAAATGGTAAAAAAGTTTTCAGTGCGGGCGAGAACCGGCGCAAAGTCCCTCCTCGTGCCGGCCCGGGCCATCCGCTCACTATCATTCGCGCCCCTAAGCGCCGATAGGTTGGCCCTATTACTGACTAGTTAGGAGACGACTGACGGACGTCTGATCGTAAGTATATACCTATCGGCCGGCTGGCGGACGTCTGATCGCTGATCGCGGCGAGGCTTAGCGCCGCAACTGGCTTTGCTGCCGGGTTCAGCGTGCGGTTCTACCACACCCTGTCCAGAAGGCTCAGCAGACTGTATAGCGCGTCCTGTCCAGGGGGGCTGAACAGTCTCGCCGTTCGGCGTCAGCGGCTCTCTGACTCTCACTTTTCCCGGCCGCGGCCGATACCAAAGTCCAATCGTCCCGCAGACGCCGACTGGTGGGTGCCGCGGCCGGGGCAAAACGCGACGTCACTCACGGTGGCCTAATCACCTTTGCGAATATCGTCTCTCAGAGACAGGTATACTATTGCCCACGTTGATGCTGAGCAGGAGGCCAAAAAGCGCACTGTCAATTGCAACTGGCTCTGCCCGCCACCGGAGTCTGCGCTCCAGCGTCGGATCGGCGCCGCCCCACCCGTCCGCCGCCCTCCCCGTCCAGCTGACAGTCGAGTCGGCGAGCCGCGCGCAGCGCCACAGTGCGCCGTCCCACTGACCCGACTGGTGGCCGGCGCGCCAGCGGTCACCCAGGCCAGGTCAGCGCCGGCAACGGTCAGCTGGGAGGAAACGCCGCCGGCACCGGTAACGGTCAGCCGGGAGGAAACGCCACCGGCGCCGACAACGGTCAGCCGGGAGGAAACGCCGCCGGCGCGCGGCAGGCAGCGTCCCCGTCCACCGCCGTGCAGCGGACCGCTGCGGCCGCCTGACAACAGGCCGCTGAGCCGGGCGGACCGAGGATGGAAACACTGGGCGGGCCGGGGATGGAAACACTGGGCGGGCTGGGAATGGAAACACCGGGAGAGCTGGGGATGGCAGGCCGGACGACCGAACCTAAGGTTCGGTCAAATCAGAGAGCAGGATGAACTCAAGTCGTGGTTTGGTCGGTTCGGTCGGTCCAGATCGGGTCAGGTATGGTCAGAACATGATCGTCAAGGTCGGGTCAGATATGGTCAGGACTGGGATCAGGACTGGTCAGAATTTTTCCTCGCCGCCGAGCTGGTAGGCTGATCAGTGCCTGAAGCCGCCGGTCTGACGTCCGGGCCAGGCTGGCTGCCCGAACGACGAGCGCTCCCATTGGAAACAGCACAGCTCGGACGCCCCCTCCCCCCTCCCCCCCACCCCGCTGTGCGCCGGCGGCGGTACCAGAGGCAGTGGCAGCGCACCTGCCGCCGCCGGAGACCTGTCCTGCAGCCCGACAGCCGACAGCTGCGCGATGGAAGCATCCGAGAAGCCGGCCGGCTGACGAGCTACAGAGAACAAGGACAGGCTCGGGAACTGGGGGCAGAGCGCGGGCGGCGGGCAGAGCGGGGCGGAGCGTGGCGCCGCGATCGGTCGGTACTCACGAAGCTGTACGTGGTCGCCGCGCAGAAGCTGCCGCTCGACTGCAGCACCTCCGGCGCCATGTAGTCGGGCGTGCCCGTCTTTCCGGTGACGTGCGTCTGTCGGAGACAGGGCCGGGCGGTCAGAGCGGTCAGTATAGGTCGGTCCAAGCGGCCGAGTCGAGACCGGCGTATGCGGGCCGGGCCCCAGCCGGCCGTCCCCGGCTAATACGATGATATTGCGCCGGCTGCGGCGGCGGCTAATATGAGGGTCAATAGTGATCAGTTTCCGGGAAACAGCGACCTGGCGTGGAGAGGCAGCGCGGCCCTCACAGCTGGCCGGCTGGCCCCGTCTGCGGCCAGCCGGCCAGCCGAAGAGAGAGAGAGAGAGAGAGAGAGAGAGAGAGAGAGAGAGAGAGAGAGAGAGAGAGAGAGAGAGAGAGAGAGAGGAGAGAGAGAGAGCGAGAGAGGAGAGAGGGGGGAGAGTTGGGGATAGGGAGGGGAGGGAGGAACTTACCGACTCGCCATCCTCGAACAGTTTGGAGAGGCCGAAGTCGGCCAGCCGGATGTGCCCGTCGCCGAAGACCAGGATGTTCTCCAGCTTCAGGTCGCGGTACATGATGTTCAGCTGCCGTCAGCGGGGCCGTCGGTCAGAGAGGACACTCGCCGACTGTACACGTATATGACAGGGCACAGGGCGCTGATCGAGGCGGTGTATAGGATGTGACACAATCGCAAAGTCAACACTGCCCCATGAGCAGTGCACCCCTTTATCGAGACTTAAATCAAGAAAAATAATTATGATCGAACAGAGTCAAACATTCAGTGAAGCTGCATATTTAACGGCCAGGCCAGTATGTATACCTACCCTTTGCTGTCAGGTGGGACCGTCACTGGACTCCCGGCCCCCGCCCTGTGGAGCTGACTGAACTCCCGGCCCCCGCCCTGTGGAGCTGACTGAACTCCCGGCCCCTATCCTGTGGAGCTGACTGAACTCCCGGCCCCCGCCCTGTGGAGCTGACTGAACTCCCGGCCCCCGCCCTGTGGAGCTGACTGAACTCCCGGCCCCTATCCTGTGGAGCTGACTCACTGCTGAGTGAACTCCCGGCCCCTACCCTCCCTGTGGAGGTGACTGGTGGCGGTCCCATACCCTGCGGAGGTGGCTGATGGCCCCATCATACCCTTTGGAGGTGACTGGTGGCCCTACCCTGTGGCCTGTGGAGTGGCTGATGGCCCCCATACCCTGCGGAGGTGGCTGGTGGCCCTACCCTGTGGAGGTGGCTGATGGCCCCTACCCTTTGGAGGTGGCTGATGGCGGCCCCTATACCCTGCGGAGGTGGCTGATAGTCCCATACCCTGTGGAGGTGGCTGGTGGTCCTACCCTGTGGAGGTGGCTGAACTCCGCGGTCGCTTACCTTGTGGAGGTAGCTGATGGCCACGCAGAGCTCTGCCAGGATGAGCCGGACCCGGTGCAGGTACTTGATGTAGTTGTGGTGGAACATGCGGCGCAGGTAGCCGGGCTTCTTCTTGGGGTTGGTGCACGGCCCGGCCAGTGAAAACAGGTCCTTACCGGCCGCGAACGCTGCGCAAAACAACAACAACACCAGTGTTAGCGACACCAGCTCATGGCCAACAACAGCAACACCACAGCCACAACAACGCCAGTGTCAGAAGGAGCAGCTGGTCAGCAGGGAGATGACGGCCAGCTGGTGGAGACCGCCCTGATGACCTCAGCTCTTCCGCTCGCCCGTAAGTCACTGCACACCTAGCTACTAGAAACGGAGTCAGGCACGCAGGTGCGCGATACCTGTAATTCGGAGCGGCTGCATCTCGCCTGGGTGTTACCCGGTATGCGGGGGTCGCCGATGGATTATGCGACGCGTCAGTGGGACTGCGCCGCGAGTGGCCGGAGCGGAGCTGGAGCCGGCACGGGCCGCGTCTCCGGCCGGCGGCGGCCGGCTGACGACCCGCTCTCCGCGGCCCGTCCCTCCATCGACCGACGCTCCATATCGCGGCGGCGGAGCAGTGTGTGCAGGGCCGGGAACCGACGGGGGCCGCCGACACCGGCCCGCTCAGCTGCGCAGCCGGCTCGGCACGGCGCTGACACACCCCTCAGTGAGCCCCAGCACTGACCGGCGGCGGCGCGACCGCCCAGCTGCCGGCCGACCCCGACTGCCGCCCGCCCAGAGCCACCCAGGCCGGCCCGCCCAGGGCCACCCAGACCGGCCCGCAGGTGTCCGCGAGCTGTGTCCGAGCGCCTCCCCCGCCAGGAGGGAGCTCTGATTGACTGACACCGCCACCAGCCGCACTGAGGGACTGACGCCGCACTGAGGGACTGACACCGGCCGCACTGAGGGACTGACACCGGCCGGCCGCACTGAGGGACTGACACCGCCACCGGCTGCACTGAGGTACCGACATAAGCCGCACGGCCGCACTGAGGGACACCGGCCGCACTGAGGGACTGACACCGGCCGCACTGAGGGACTGACACCGACACCGGCCGCACTGAGGGACTGACACCGGCCGCACTGAGGGACTGACACCGGCCGCACTGAGAGACCGACACCGGCCGAACTGAGGGACCGGCCGCACTGAGGGACTGACACCGGCCGCACCGAGGGACTGACACCGCCACCGGCCGCACTGAGGGACACCGGCCGCACTGAGGGACCGTCACCGGCCGAACTGAGGGACCGGCCGCACTGAGGGACTGACACCGGCCGAACTGAAGGACCGACACCGGCCGAACTGAGGGACCGGCCGCACTGAGGGACTGACACCGGCCGCACTGAGGGACCGACACCGGCCGAACTGAGGGACCGGCCGCACTGAGGGACTGACACCGGCCGAACTGAGGGACCGGCCGCACTGAGGGACTGACACCGGCCGCACTGAGGGACCGGCCGCACTGAGGGACTGACACCGGCCGAACTGAGGGACCGGCCGCACTGAGGGACTGCCACCGGCCGCACTGAGGGACTACACCCGCCGCACTGAGGGACTGACACCGGCCGCACTGAGGGACCGGCCGCACTGAGGGACCGGCCGCACTGAGGGACTGACACCGGCCGCACTGAGGGACTACACCGGCCGCACTGAGGGACTGACACCGGCCGCACTGAGGGACTGACACCGGCCGCAGCTGCACAGACAGAGCGGAAGCAGGCCGCCGCACAGTGCATACTGCACACACAATTAAATGTCAAGGACAGGCCCAGCGAACGGTGTCCAGGACTGCAGAGAATTATGAATCGAATGTAACGTGAAACAAATGGCGGGGCGGATCTGGTTACGGGAAACTCATTCTATCTCGCTGCTTCCTGGAACCTCATGCCTACTGTTCTATATCCGTTCAACGCGCTGGCCGAGAATGAGCGACCGCGGGGGCAGAGGAGCCAATTAGGCAGCCCTCGCGGAGATCGGGTCATGGAGGCGCTATCAGATAAAGATGGGCCACTGTACCGTCCTGTCACCGACGGCAGGAAACTGACCGCGCGCGGAAACGGCGCTGCACATCACGGCTCGGTACGGTGCGCCACGGCACCGCACGGGACGGCGCGGCGCGCGGATAGTGGCTACTGGCTCAGCCGGCAGAGCGGCGGCATCTGACCGGCGTCACCCGAACAGGGGACGGGGCGCACCGCCCGCCGCGTCCGACCAGCTGGCCGTAAACAGCCCGTGGTCCAGACCGTGTCCAGAGGGCACCGGCCGTGTCAGGAGCCCAGGCGGCGCCACAGCCAGCGGTATAGAACGCTGCACTGCCGGACAGCCAGCGGTGGAACGCTGCACTGCCGGGCCGGCCGGCTCAGAGCTCCCCTCCCGTGCCGCTCCGCCCCCAGTCGGTGTGCGGCAGGAGCGCCGCACACCGACTGGGGGTGCGGGCTGTGGGGTGTAGGTATGGGTGTGACCAGCCGGCCGGGTCAGCGAGCCGCCAGTTCCCTCTGCCTGTGGCCGCTCTGCCCAGTGCCCACCCACCCAGCAGCCTTAGAGCGGACTGGCCGCCTCGCTGCCACCTGCTGGCCCGCGGCGGGCCTCTGGCCTCTGCGAACACAGGTGAGCTCCGCTCGCCACCTGGCGCGGGTGTGTGTGTGTGGGGGGGGGGGGGCTGAGGTGGTCCGCGCGCCCGCCGCCCGTCCCGAGCCAGCTCCGCGCCCGTCCCAGCCCAGTCTCTCGACAGACCGATGACGTCGTCACACTCCCGGCCGCCACGACGGGCGTTTTTTTCGGTCTCTCGGTCTCGACTTTGGCCGCGTCTCGGGCGCGGCGCACCGACCCTGGGCTCGGCGGCCCCGCTCGGCAGCCAAGGTCGGCCTGCCGAGCTGTTTGTGAGCGCCGACACGGGTGCGCCGCCGCACGCTGCGCACCTTGCATAACGGCCGGGTCACAGACCCCTGCAGGACGACCTCACACCTACTGTCGGAGCGCCGGGTGCGTGAGGGCGCCGACCGACCGAGCCAGAGGGAATCCGCGCGGCCGCCGGCCCGGCCAGCTCCGACAGAGCACAGCGGACAGCGGACAGACACGACGCTCCCCCTGACTCCTGGCGTAGCTGCGCTGCGCACTTCGGCACTCTTTTTCCACAAACCTCCTGAGCCAAGTGAAAAACCAGCTCGCCTCTTTGTCTCCTACGGCAGGCGGTCGCACAAAGAGGTTAGTTCTCGGTCGATTCGAGGTCACCGCAGCGCCGGGCTTTGTTTGCCGAAATACGGCGTGATTGGAGTCCCGTGACCCGAGACGTCCCTGCGCCGGCCGGCCGGCTCCGCACGGCTCATAATACGAAAAACCTTGATCGATAGGCCAGGTTCCGATCGAAAAAAAGGAAATGAAATGTGAAGACAAAAACGTCAAGTGTGTAAATGTTGCCGCTAGGTGGTGTGCGTCGGTAAAGCCCGAATAGTCCGGCTCGTGCACCCATTACCACCAGGCCGGCGGTGCAGTTGACGGCTCTCGGACTCGCACGCAGCAGCGCCGATCAGCTGGTGGCGGCGGCCGTCCGCCGGTGGCCGCCTGTGACCCACATGTGGCAGAGGTGCGCCGGTCGATGGCCGCCGGCGTCTCTGCCGACGGGGACAGCCGCGTGCGGATCGAGGATCGAACGGCGCGGGGAGTGGGCCGACGGCCGGCCGGCGCGCTCCCCGAGCTCCCCGCCAGCGGCACGTGCACAGCGCCCGACCCCGGCTCCCGGGGGGAGGGTAGGGGAGGGTGCGGAGGTGGGCCTCCCTCCGTGTGTGTCAGAGGACGGTCAAAGGTGCAGTGTCTGTAAGAGGGCCCGCTACCCCGGGTCATCACCCTGCGCTGGCGGAGCGAGCGGAGCATCACGCGCCACGGGTCAGATCGATTCGGCCGAGGCCGCCGCCCGGAAACAGCGGCTTCCACAAAAACGGCACAGAACACACCGCGTTACCACAGCGGACCCGGTCCGCGCGGCTGGTACCGACATCGACGGCACCGTCACCGGTAACACAGACGTGACGGACGGACAGCGCGGGACGGACAGCGCGGACAGACAGCGCGGACAGCACGGACGGACAGACAGCGCGGACAGACAGCACGGGCAGCACGGACGGACAGACAGCGCGGACAGACAGCGCGGACAGACAGCGCGGACAGCAGAGACAGACAGCACCACCGACAGTCAGCACGGACAAACAGACAGCACGGGCAGCAAGGACAGACAACGCGGACAGACAGCACGGACAGACAGGGCGGACAGCACGGACGGACAGCGCGGACAGACAGCGCGGACAGCACGGACGGACAGAGCGGACGGACAGCGCGGACAGACAGCACGGGCAGCACGGACGGACAGACAGCGCGGACAGCACGGACGGACAGACAGCGCGGACAGACAGCGCGGACAGCACGGACGGACAGCGCGAACGAACAGCAGCGCGAACAGCACGGACAGACAGCACCACCGACAGACAGCGCGGACAGCACGGACGGACAGACAGCGCGGACATCACGGACGGACAGCACGGACAGACGTCAAGGACAGACAGCGCGGACAGCACGGACGGACAGCACGGACAGCACGGACAGACAGCAGCACGGATAGACGTCACGGACGGACAGCACGGGACGGACAGACAGACAGACAGACAGACGGACAGACAGTCCGTAACAGAGCGCCGAACAGATAGATAGGCCGGACAGACAGACAGGCAGTACTCACGCAGCACGAGGAAGGCCTTGCCGAGGCGCGCGTCGAAAAAGGCGTAGGCCAGGTCGAGCGTGTAGGGCACGTTCTGGAGGCGCGGCAGGATGTCGCGCTCCACCAGCGCCGCCCGGTTCAGCGCCGTCATCTTGAGCGCGTAGTGGGCGCGGTGGTCGCGGCCGCCCTTCTTCTGCACCAGCACCACGCTGCCGTACCCTGCCGACGGCCAGGGGGGGGGGGTCAGACTTCTGCACCAGCACCACGCTGTCGTACCCTGCCGACGGCCGGGGGGTCAGACTGCTGTAACTGCACACACTGCCTTACCCCGCCCGCAACGCTGCCGTACCCTGCCCGCAACGCTGCCGCACCCCGTCCACAACGCTGATGTCCCTTCATGCCGACGGCCTGCAGTGAGGTGGTCAGAGCTCACGGACAGCTGGGCGAGGTCAGAGCTCACGGACAGCTGGGCGAGGTCAGAGCTCACGGACAGCTGGGCGAGGTCAGAGCTCACGGACAGCTGGGCGAGGTCAGAGCTCAGGAACAGCTGGGAGGTCAGAGCTCAGGAACAGCTGGGAGAGGTCAGAGCTTACGGACAGCTGGGAGGTCCGGGAGAGGTGGGGAGAGGGAGGGCATACGATGCAGCAGACGGCCGGGCCGTGGGGAGGGAGAGGGGATGGTGCAGATGGGATAACAGGTTCATCGTGTCAGAAAAGATGGTGGGAAAATTGGGAAAAAAATGGACGGGTCCGCACTCTGCAGTACCTAACGTGAGTCCCCATGAGTCCACGCGAGAGAGAGAGAGAGAGAGAGAGAGAGAGAGAGAGAGAGAGAGAGAGGAGAGAGAGAGAGAGAGAGAGAGAGAGAGAGAGAGAGAGAGAGAGAGAGAGAGAGAGAGAGAGAGAGAGAGAGAGAGAGAGAGAGAGAGAGAGAGAGAGAGAGAGAGAGAGAGAGAGAGAGAAGGAGCCTCGCTTCTTTGCGCCATTTATGTACGTACGCTCGGAGTCAGGCCATTCACCTGACGGAGTGTCTCGTCAGACGTCGAACAGCTTACACCACAGCAGCGACTCCCACCACCCGACAAAATTGCCACACTCAACTCTGCAGGATCCCATTGCCCAGGTCACTCAGCGATCGAGAAGCGTATTATGTGCGATGAAAGCTGATGTCACTCGGAAACTATCGTATAATGCCCGCATGTCAGATGAAAACCGAGAAGATCAGGATTAAGAAGGAAAACCGCTGTGCGGTCCGGACCTTGTTTCACTGCTGGCCCTGGCGGGTAATACGCGCTCACTACATGCTGTTCGTACAATGAGTATCGCTTTGCGACCGCGGAGTTCCGAGGTACGCGGAGGTGGCCGGAGGTGGCCGGAGGTGGCCGGAGCTGGCCGGCGCTGGCCGGCGCACAGTTTCCGCCGCCGCGCCGACCATGTCCTTCGTCCTTGTCATCGACCGAGTTTAAATAGCCGTCCGGCTGCTCGTCGGCGGGGCAAATTGGGTCATGCAGCAGCAGTAGCACGCAGGCGGGCGGCGCGTCCCAGATCGGAGTCCCCTGCAACGCCGGCCACATTGCCCACTGTCCAGGGGCCACAGCGCACACAGACGAGCCCGGAACAACGGGTCTGGCTGCGCCCAGCCGCGAAAAGTGAGCGGGATCCACCGGGAGAGCCGGCGGGATCCACCGACAGCGGCGGCCGGATCCACCGGGAGAGCCGGCGGGATCCACCGGGAGAGCCGGCGGGATCCACCGAGACAGGACCGCACCCAGCGGACACTGCCCGTGGAGCTTCTGTGGCCAGCGGTCGGTGGAACAAACTGAACGCTCGCACGTCTGTCTGCTCACGGTCCCTCCCCCCCCCCCTTCCCGAGACGCGGGCCTCCCCGGCAGCGCTACAGTGCACCGCTTGTCGATCGGGACGGGGTTCCTGCCGGCGCGCACCTCTCAGCACGGTAAGTCCCGTCCTTCCCAGTTGAGGGGAACCTTTTCCGGCGCACCAGCTCGGCGCCCGGCTGAAGGCGGAGCTGCCCTTGTGTCTGACACGTGATCAGCCCTACAGCCCAACGAGCTGCCGGAAACTGGTGACTCAGGGAGGTTCCGCGACCGGCCCACCGACCTGCCGGCCGACCGACCTGCCGGCCGCCGACTCATATAGTGTACCCACTGCGCCGGGCCGTCGGCCGCCGAATCATCCATCCCGAGGGCCGTCCGCCGCCGAATCATTCACTGCTCCGGGCCGTCGGCCGCCGCGTCACCGCCGGCCGGCTGGCAATCAGCTGACTGGGGGTGGGGAGGGGCGGGGAGCGCCACTCTGAGCTGGCAGCGGCCGGCCGGGCGCCGCGAGGTGCCAACCAGAGCCGCACGGCGCGCTGGCCCGACAACGGAGCCGCGGCTGCGCCCGCCGCCGGGCTGCGGGTCGGTGCCTTCGCCGCGCCTGACGCGGCCACTGCAGGCCCACAGCTGGGATGATGTAACCCTCCAGCCCGGCTGCCGCTCGAGCTGCGTAGCCCATCGAACATTCCGGAACGAACGCGTCAGACCGCCACAAACGCTCGCCTGAGTGCGCAGCAGAGGCGGATCCAGCTCAGAGTTCGGGGGGGGGGAGCAAACCATAACAATTTATCGATTTTTTCCAAGCCTCGTCCATAGGCGTAATGTTAAAATTATGCCGTTGGGGGGGGGGGGGGGCAAATGCCCATTTTGCCCCCCTGGATCCGCCACTGGTGCGCAGACACTAGATTCTTCAGTGTGCAGTGTTCAGTCCATGTGAATTGTGTACCGCTGGTGACGGGACGGATCTGAACTCTGACTAACTCGTGAATTCTGATCACGACTCTTAGGTATATTAGCTATTTAGCTATTCCGTGCGCACCGCCAGACCTGCGGTGTCCGGCCTGCCACCTGTGTCTCCCGTGACCTGTCCGTGACCTGTCCGTGACCTGTGTGTCACCTGTGTGCCGGTGACTGGCCGCTGCAGCTCTGCGCCCTCAGCTATCGACCGCGCTCGGCCGGGCGACGTCGGCGGCCTTGGCGGCCTGACCGGCTCCGCCGACGCACACGCACACGGCTTGTTGCCGGGCGCCGGGCGGGGCAGAGGGCCGGGGAAGACAGAGCGATGGCCTCGGGCGGCCTGACGGGAGCACTGCTGCCGCCAGCCGGCGGCGCGCGTGGCCGCTGTGGCCGGGAGCGGAGCGCGGAGGATCTGTAAAGTGTGTGTCTAGTTATTTGTTTACCCTCATCGCCTGCTAACCGTTGCTTATATTTTTATGGGTGTAGGCTTAATTAGTTCGCAGTCTAATTTTACCTGAGTGGTGGCCATATTTCATTTTCGCATTTTCAACGCTCGCTACCTTTACCGCTCTCCGCCCGCACTTAGCTCACCGCAGCTGACCCCGCGGTCGGCCCAACGACGCGTCATAGTTTATCCATGTGTGACTCATTGTCTCCAGCCCGCCACGACGGTGCCGCTGAGTCGCGCCAGCCTGACGCCCGCCATCCGTCATTCATGCCGGCCCGCGCAGAATAGTGACCTGGTTAATGTCCACCAATGCTTCTGACGCGCTTCTTAGAACGATATCGTGCTACGCCCCCCTCAACCACGGTGCCAGCGCGTGACGATTGGCAACTCATCTGACACGTGTCTTCTGAGAGCTACCAGAGGGCCGAGGGGCGGTGACATAGTAATAACCAATCACAAGACGAGTCTCAAAGCGAAAATGTTTTAATCCAATAGCGGGCCGTCACGCAGGATAGTTTTATATTCTAGTATGTGGTAGGAACTAGGTCGGGGTGAGCCGAGCCGAGAGCTCCCCGGCAAAGGGAATGGCAGAAGACCTAGAGCCATCATCGGCGTAGGACGTGTTCTCTCTCGCTTGAGGGGACCTCCGAACTCCACAGCCGCTGGACGCAATACCATCCGCTCCGCGTGCTTGTGTGAGAAGAACCCCGAGTCCCAGAGCCATCGGACGTGTACCATCTGCTCCGTGTGCCGACACCGTAGCCGATCACCCTGCTCTGTGTTGTGCTGCTCAAATACAACTCGACCGGAAGACCGTCGTCTCTGACGAGGACCGCCAACAACACGAAGTGCCCCGCTCTGGGCACGAGAACACACACGTGTTACATTGGTGCCGTGCCCGACCCGGATCGAACCAACTGCCGAAGAAGCCGTCTTCTCACCTACATCTGCTTCTTCGTGCGCCGATTTTCTTCAGCTGACGGAAATCTGCCGCCGACGAGCACCTGTACCCGTTCATCGCTGCTGAGTTACAACTGCTACCAGCCAGCTCTCACGGCTAGAACATCGGCCGACACTTCACTGTGAGCCGTCCAATCAAAGGGCTCCGGAATCAGAACTGCACCAGTCAGGCCCAAGCTGCCCGAGTTACACTAATACGGCAGCAATCACAACCAGCGCTCGATCGAAGCCGCTGACAGCTCCAACCGACCGTTTCCCGTCATCGAGGCAAAATTCAGCAGAAATGAGAGGTCAAGTCACGCTCTCCAACGAGGTCAACGGACGCTCTTCTACGAGATCGACTTCATCGAGAGGCTTCAAAGGCGCTCAATACCCAACGCTACAACCAGACGCTCGCGCGTAATCGAAACAGTCCGCCCGGCGCGTAGTTAAAGTGATAGTGAGAGTGAAAGTGAACTGGCGAACATCCCATCTTTGGTGACATCAAACAAAGGTACGTCTCGACATCTCCCGAGTGGCACTAAGTTTTATACTGTAACGTATATTGTTCATTTTATGACGTGGTAATTTTGGCTCTCAATTGCGGCAATCATGGCTCAATCCAACTCGTCCCACATGCATGCTCCTGGTTCTGAATTCTCCAAATCCAAGGCGAATGTAACAAGGAAAAACCCCAATGCTCCCCAAAGACAGCCTGTAAAGGACCGAGAGTTATTAAGAATCAATCCATTTGGCGAAAAACTCGACCTATGGCGCGCCGAAATGAACAACGCAGACCTATTCGATCTAAGTTCTACTGAGCGGGCCGAACGCCTCGAGCTATTATCAATCATTAACGAAAGAGACACTTATCTTGGACGGAAGGATCACGAAACCCAACAGCGACGCGTCAATCAAGCGCCCATTCAGCCGGAACCAAAATACCCAGATCTCGAGAAACTCAGATTCGTGTGATCACTCCGAAAAGCACGCAGAATTAGTGCAGTTGATGACTACGCCTGAAACAGAATTACGATGTTTAGATAAGCCCCTATGATGTTGCAAGAGTCTCTCTTTAGGTCGGCATTTACCTAAGAGAGGAACATATATTAATTGGTGGCCGAGCGCGGTCAAGTCGCGTAAGGTAACTGATGTTGGTCTGCTTTTCTGAGTAAAGCCAACAAACGTATGAGACAGGTGCACTGCAAATTTTCAGAACCCTTCAGCAGCAATAGGTGACCCCAGCGTTATTAACTCGCCACAGTTACCGGACGATGGTGAGCATGGACGTTACCGCTGCCACAGAGGCTGCACGATTAGGTCTGAGGTCTCGAGCCTCTCGAAGGGTTGTGTACGACGGAACGTACACCAGAGCTGCGTAATAGAGGAGACAATTTTTTATGAGTGCCCTGCAATCGAGAGACGAAGGTACAATCTGGAACTGATTGTCTGGCAGTTTAGCTAGCAATCCAAATGACGTTGACGTTCAACAGCCATTTGCCGTGATGTAGCACCATGACTGAGGTGACTCATCGGATTGTTACCGGAAGCTTCCGAATACGTAATTTTTTTATTGATTGGCTTTCCCTAGCCTGATGTAATAAACGGTCGTTGTGGTGGAGACCGTAGGAGCCACAACGATGCAGCGGTCGTTGTGATTGGGACCATAGGTGTCACAACGGATGCATTGTGGATGGATGTTTTGAGAATGAATGCTGCTGCTGATAATAACGAACACGCCTATGATTACTAAAGGCCATATCCTTGACTGCTACTATGCTTTTGCGCTAACCACTACTGCTCTCGCTGCCTGACTACAAACCGTTCCTCCCTTTGTCCTCCCAGCTTCCATTTCTCGAGACTATCACGAGCCAGCCATAACTTGACGAGTGTCACATTGTGCTCGGCTCACTAGCAGAGCCGGCACGTGGTAACTGTAAACGATGCACCGGCATCACTCAGCGCTCAGTCTAGTGCCACAACGGATATGCCGTGACGGGCCATGTATGGCCAGGCGTGAGGTCTCTTTGTCCCTCTTTCCCCAGTGTGCGTGCAAGTGTTTGTGTATGCACGGCGCCGAGCCTGCATCACAATGGACCGAGGAACTATCCGAATCACCGTATGATTCAGTGTTCCGCACCGAGCGCAGACGTACGCTACCAAGCGAAGTGCCCCCGCGCACCAGCAATCCGGGTCACCAGTTGACTCGACGGCCCACGATCCGGGTCACCGCCGAAATGACTGACGTCATGGACTACGATAGCCGTTTTCGTGGACCGCAGCGAGTGCGCTAGTGGCGTTCAATGCGTTCATCCGGCAAATTCCCGCCCTCCCGCCCCTGTGTCGTGTTCTTGTCGCGAATGTGTTTGTGTTCTGCGTGCGACTCCCCCGCTGTGTCCTTCGCCCTTCAGGCGTCGGCCTCTGCTTTGTCCTAGCCAAAGCTCTTGCCATGGGTGGGGGAGGTGTGTAAAGTGTGTGTCTAGTTATTTGTTTACCCTCATCGCCTGCTAACCGTTGCTTATATTTTTATGGGTGTAGGCTTAATTAGTTCGCAGTCTAATTTTACCTGAGTGGTGGCCATATTTCATTTTCGCATTTTCAACGCTCGCTACCTTTACCGCTCTCCGCCCGCACTTAGCTCACCGCAGCTGACCCCGCGGTCGGCCCAACGACGCGTCATAGTTTATCCATGTGTGACTCATTGTCTCCAGCCCGCCACGACGGTGCCGCTGAGTCGCGCCAGCCTGACGCCCGCCATCCGTCATTCATGCCGGCCCGCGCAGAATAGTGACCTGGTTAATGTCCACCAATGCTTCTGACGCGCTTCTTAGAACGATATCGTGCTACGCCCCCCTCAACCACGGTGCCAGCGCGTGACGATTGGCAACTCATCTGACACGTGTCTTCTGAGAGCTACCAGAGGGCCGAGGGGCGGTGACATAGTAATAACCAATCACAAGACGAGTCTCAAAGCGAAAATGTTTTAATCCAATAGCGGGCCGTCACGCAGGATAGTTTTATATTCTAGTATGTGGTAGGAACTAGGTCGGGGTGAGCCGAGCCGAGAGCTCCCCGGCAAAGGGAATGGCAGAAGACCTAGAGCCATCATCGGCGTAGGACGTGTTCTCTCTCGCTTGAGGGGACCTCCGAACTCCACAGCCGCTGGACGCAATACCATCCGCTCCGCGTGCTTGTGTGAGAAGAACCCCGAGTCCCAGAGCCATCGGACGTGTACCATCTGCTCCGTGTGCCGACACCGTAGCCGATCACCCTGCTCTGTGTTGTGCTGCTCAAATACAACTCGACCGGAAGACCGTCGTCTCTGACGAGGACCGCCAACAACACGAAGTGCCCCGCTCTGGGCACGAGAACACACACGTGTTACAGATCGGGACCCCACTGCGCCCGCCGCCCGCTGGTAGTCGGCGCCGACGGGCTGCGTGACGTTCTACCTCGCGCTGAGGCGCGCTGTCAGAATTGTCGGAAGTTGTGCGGTCGGTCCAACCGTCGTATGCCATATCGCGAATTCGTAAACAGCAAGTGACAATGGGACATACCATCGACTTTAGGTCGTCTTACGGCAGAGCCCTTCGTTCTGTTCGATTGTCGTGAAGGCATTATCTGAGCGCCGAACAAGAAAACAGCCGCATTCCTCTAAGCCAAAACAGAGCCTGAGGGTGCCTTTATGCCTTAGTCTGGTGCTTATCAGGCCCAGGCTTCCCCCAGTCGTGAAATGTCCGATGTCGACACTGGAGTTAGTGACGCCGGGGCGCTCGACTCTGCCCGATCGGCCGCGGGGCCGGTCTGCAGACCGAGGGAGCCGTCACCCGCCGCGGGCGCCGTGCCGCCACCCTCCGAGGGCGCCGTGCCGCCAGCCGTCACCCTCCGCGGGCGCCGTGCCGCCACCCTCCGCGGGCGCCGTGCCGCCACCCTCCGCGGGCGCCGTGCCGCCAGCCGTCACCCTCCGCAGCCCCGCTCAGACGATAACAGGACCGCCAGACAGGGGCCTGGCGCCTCCACTCGACTTCACCAGCTGGGCCTGGCGCCTCCACCCGACTTCACCAGCTGGGCCTGGCGCCTCCACCCGACTTCACCAGCTGGGCCTGGCGCCTCCACCCGACTTCACCAGCTGGGCCTGGCGCCTCCACCCGACTTCACCAGCTGGGACTGGCGCCTCCACCCGACTTCACCAGCTGGGCCTGGCGCCTCCACCCGACTTCACCAGCTGGGACTGGCGCCTCCACCCGACTTCACCAGCTGGGACTGGCGCCTCCACCCGACTTCACCAGCTGGGACTGGCGCCTCCACCCGACTTCACCAGCTGGGACTGGCGCCTCCACCCGACTTCACCAGCTGGGACTGGCGCCTCCACCCGACAGAATAGAGCGCGGATGGACGGACGGACGGACGGACGGACGGACGGACGGACAGCGCACGTCACCTGCACAGCCCGCCGCACAGCCCCAGACGGACCCAGAGTACCCGAGTGATCAGTGCTGAGTGCACAGTGTGTCCAGCACCACATCACCAGCCGGCACCACCAGCAGCGTGTTACCTCCCGCCCCCTGTGCTCTGCAGCGTGTTACCTCCCGCCTCCTGTGCTCTGCCGACATAACACAAAAACACTCCTGACACCGGCCGCGCCAGCCCTTACCCCTGCTGAGCTGCGCCCCTCTCCTTCGGCCCCACCAGCAGAGCCGATCCCTCCAGCACGGCTGCCGCAGCGGAGCCACGGATGGGCGGCCGGCGGCCCAGAGAAGTGACCACGGCCGTGCCGTGCCACTGGCGGCTCAGGGGAGCGCCGTGCCGGGCCGGGCCGCTGGCCGGTACACTGGCCGACATTCGGGGGGTCAACGTTCGCCAGCGCGGCGCGGCGGCCGGCGGCAGCGCCCAAACCAGCCCGCTGCCCAGACCCACCGGCCACCACTGCCACAAGGAGGCTTGCCGAATTCCGCCGCCTCGGGTGAGGGTGTATGTGTGTGTGCCGGAGAGGCCCAGTGGTTTCCGCCGCCTCGGGTCATGGGGCGGGGGTGGAAGGATCCCAGTGGTTTCCGCCGCCTCGGGTCATGGGGCGGGGGTGGAAGGATCCCAGTGGTTTCCGCCGCCCGGGGCGAGGATGGCCCACGGAAGGGGTCCGCCGGGTCCCGCCGCCAGGTCGACGGGCGGGAGTGGCGGTAGAGTCCGTTACCTTCCGTGGCCCCCGGCGGTGTCTGTAGATTGAAGGACGCGGAGGGGAGGGACCGGGCCCCAGACCAGCACTGGGGACCTGCCGCGGCAGCCTCCGTCCACCTCTCAGCACAGGCGACCCGCGGACGGACGGAGCTGATCGTGGCTGACGGGGGCCGGCCGTCCCACCGCGATACAACACACCCCGTGAGCCCAGACGGAGACGGACAGCCAGTAGAGACAGCGCCCGACAGTGAACCCAGACACCACCGGACAGCGAGCCCAAACGGCGCCGGACAGACAGAAGGGACAGCGCCCGACAGTGAACCGAGGCACCACCGGACAGCGAGCCCAAACAGCGCCGGACAGACAGAAGGGACAGCGCCGGACAAGCACAGTAGAAGGCGGGGCACGGGAGAAAGGCGCGGGCAGCGCGGCCCGGGCCCACGGATCCGGACAAGGTGCTCAGCTCCAGTGTGTGCCGATAACACAAACAGTCGGGAGGGAAGACAGCGCAATGGTGGCTAGGTACTCACCGCCGGAGCCCAGCTTCTTGATGAACTCGAAGCAGTCCAGAGAGATGTGCTGCTCCTCCTCCTGCGCCCCGCGCAGCGCCAACTCTGCAACGGTGAGAGGAGCAGGTCAGAATGTGTGAGCGACACACCTCGTTACTTGACGTAGGGGAAGCCGGGGGAAGCCCGGGCGCGGGGGATGCCCGGCCACCCCGTTTCCGGCTAGATTATTCACAATAAAATGCTCAACTCTTTGTCCTTTCAGCGTGACAGCTGAGGTAACGCCAGCGCAAAAGTTAAAGCTAACGAAAATTGCATATTGTTAAAGTTATAGAGCAAAAATGACATTTTAAGGGTTTTTAGCTAAAAACTGAGATATGATGCACTGTTAATGTTATACCATACAGCCCTAATATTTATACAGATGTTATGAAAGGACTGTTTAAGTGTTTATAGAGAGGGGTAACGAGGCAGGCTGGCTTAAGTATGACATTTTGTTTCGAACATCGCTGTTCTAAAATAAAATTAACACATTGGCCCCGGGCGAGTGGGCGAGCTTACCCTCAACCGAGAGCAATGCCACTAAACCGCTGTTTTTCATGAGATAATAGGTAGGTACTGAGTAGGTTTGGTTTTCGCCTGGCCCAAAGATAAATTTTGAAAATAAACGTGTTAACCCGCGCCCGGCTGGGGGTCCTGGATTTCCACGCCCTGCTGGGGGGGGGGGGGGTGTTTGAACACCCCCCCTTGTAACTCGGCTCCTGGGCCACGTAGCGATACGCGGAAGGCGGCGTTCGAAAGAGCGTCAAAAATAATGACGAAATCACTTCGGTCAATTTTTTGGTCAGGTCAAAGGTCAGGTCACCAGAGGTCATTGAAGGCAAAATTTCGCCGATTTCCAGGTCGAATGTCGAAAATTTCCAAGAAGCCAACGCATAACTCGGGAACCAATAGAGCTACAGCGCCGCGGAAAAGCGCATTCGATAGCCCTATTAACGCCCTTTCTGAGTAATTCTCTCAGATTTGACCTAACGTCAACGGTTTTGCCTGCAGGGGGCAAAAACTGCAAAAATAGCCGATTTTTTCGGAAACAGTTTTTCTGCAATAACTTTTGACCCAAGCCTTGTACGAGCTTACTTTCACCGGCATCGTGTTCCTCTCGTCAAGACGCATCGAATGAACTATAACTTGACCTTGAAAGGTCAACTTGAAAATTTGACCTCAGGTCAAGGTCATGACCTGACCGGAAAGGGTCATGTTGCATATCAGTCGATCCGTATCGTCGAGTTGAACACATCTAAGGCGTTTTCATCGCTCTAGCATGCCTCTATCAAAAGTTATTTGCGAAAAACTGTTAGATACCATTCGTGACCTAAGATGACCTCAGGGCATAAACAAGGGTCACAGACACCATTTTCATGTTCAGTGTGTCTAAACCACTTGTAATTCGGTGTTTGGGAGTGTTTATAATGTCTTTCATCCAAAAGAGGCGCATTTCAATTTTCTCCCATTGACTTATAATGGGGAGGTCGCAAAATTGACCTGACCTTAGGTCATCGATATCAAAATTCTGAGATATACATTTTGTACATGCTATTGCTCTTAGCAATCGCTGAAAGTTTCAAAGCGATCGGTCACTCGGTGTAGCTATGACAGACATTGAAACTTTTTATGAGGTGAGGTCACTTCAAGTGACCTGGTGACCTGACCTTGAATGACCTTGGTCTACAATTTTCACAACATGTGTAGAATTGATGTATGATAAGGTGTACCAAAAACGGCGGCGCTCCGCGCCGCCGTTTTTGAGATATTCGCGAAAAACCACAGGGGGGGGGTGTTCAAACACCCCCCCCCCAGCAGGGCGCGGGTTAATATAGACAAAGTCTCTTAGCTTGTCGCTCTATTCCAGTGCCCATACCTATCAGTTATGGATGAGGGGCGATTGCTTGCCTGGTTTTTACTGTAAAAATATGGGAGAGATCTGCTCCATTTTAACGGTTTTGGGTTATACTATCACTTTATATCAATAAGTGTGACTAAGTTTATGTTTGTATGCTACAAGAACGGTCATGTCACTTGAGGTCAACTAGGGTCAAACTACGTTTTTGCAGATAACATGATAGAAAATGAAGCTAGCGCTTCAAAAATGGTGTCATTGTGTTCTTCTTCATCAGACGAGTCGAATGATATGTTATATGATGCATCAAGGTAAACGAGAATAATGAATTTTAAGGAATTTTAAAATACACATTTTTCGTCTATTTTGCATCACGATTTTCATCGACCTGTGCCCTATATGTGGTAGACGCTGGCTAAAATACATGAAGTGTCATAAACTCCAAGATGTCCAGAGCTAAACAGTACCTTAAAGGGACTATCCCACCTTCTAAAATGTTGTTAAAACCAGTTAAATTGTGCCCGACTTTATAGATTGGATTACCAGGAACACGGTTCTGGCATTTATTTTTCATTAAACATCTTAGGCTTCCCATATTCCAAACACAAACTTTCAAATATGTAACGTCACAGCCCAAAATTACCTCCTTCCCCAGGCCACATTACTGTCATAAAGCTGATTCTTTTTACTCTGTAGGCACCACAACAAAGTTCAGACCAAGTTTTAAGCGATTTTTCAACGAATAAACCCATTTAAATCAGAATGACTAAACGAGGTGACGTCACACTAACGGTCGCTCCATGTTGAAGATAGGGCCTTGCACAAGGCCCATTTTCAAATGAAGGGAACGAATTTCTTCAACACCAAGAGGCCGCGGGGGTTGCAACCTAGATAGATAGTGGTTTCTGAACCTCGCCGCAAACTTGGCTATCTCAACTCAAACCCCATGTTAAAGGTGGGATAGTCCCTTTAATATTTCACTTTCCATCAATATTTGGAGGACACATAATGGTTTCACCAACTCGTTGTTAAGCGCTGGAGAGGTGGCTGGCCGGGCCACCTCCCTATGCCGTGCTTACCCCGGAAAAATTAACACTTTTTTAAAACTCGAATTACGCAACTTTATACGAATTCCACAAAACCGAGTTTTTGGGAAAACACGGTCAATTAACTTATCTAGCTAACAAGATATTAACATTTTATACAGCACCCAAGGTATGTAATAACAATGAAAAAGAGCTTACTATGCCGGGCTTCCCCCGGCTTCCCCTACTAGGTACTACTTTTTGGTTTTAATGCCATTCTGACGATTATTAAGTGTTGCATGGATACAAAACTGTGAACAACGGACGTTATAGTTTTGCTGACTGCTAAACCGGAAGCCATTCACTAAAACATGCGTTGAACTCTTTCCACCAGAAAAATTATGATTTATATTTCAGCAGCATCTAACCAATGTGTGCAGTGTGTGCAATGTGTGCACTGTGCACACCAAATGCATACAGTCGGGTCGGTCAGCCCATGTAGGTGGGCCGTCCAGAGCCGAGTGCTATTCGCCCCGGCGACTGAACTGAGCTGCTGTATCGGTACGGTACGGACGGTACGGAAACGGTACGGAAACGGTACGGAAACGGCACGGAAACGGCACGGAAACGGTACCTACGGCGCGGAACGGCACGGGGACTCCCAGGCCGGCCGGCCGGCCGGCGCAGCGGGTTTTCTGGGCGGTAATACCCACAGCGCAGCTGCAGATCGTGAGTTATTCACCTCAGAGCCTCCGAGGTGAGTAACTCACCACCGCTCCGGTGTACCGGCGCGGCGGCGGGACGCTCGGCCTTGCCGGTCGTTGACGCTCGCTGGCGGCGTCACCGGTCGGCGGTCGGCGGGCGGCGGCGTCAGCGCGCCACTCGGTCAGCGGCTCAGCGCCGGCGCCCGCCGGGCCCGGCCGTGTTTCGCGGGCCCGGCGGACCCCGTGGGAGTGCCGGCCCACGTGGCGCGCGCCGGATGCGGCGGCGGCACGCCGTTTTTGCCGCTGTCGACGGCCGAGTTTGCCGGTGGGGCGATGTGTGGCGCGCGGCACCGGCCGGCTGTGGGCCCGGGCGGCGCCGGGGGTCGACGGCCGCAGTGCACAGCGCCCGGTGCATCAGTGCCATGCACCCGGCGGCCGGCCCGAGACAGCCGCCGCACCGGGCCGCCACTGATGCCGTCCGAGCCGCTGCTGATTCCGCCGCCGCCGGTTCCGGAGGCCGGACGGCGCCACTCGGCCCGGTTCGGGACCGTTCGGTCCGGCCACTCACCAGTCGGCCGTCTGACCCATATCACCGCTCCCGGCGCGCCCCAGCGGCCACCCGCCCGGCCGGGATCGGGGCACGGCCGGCCCAGCTCAGCCGACAGCGCAGCGGCTGCTGCTCACTAGAACCGAGCGTGACAGGGCCGTCCGAGCACTGGCTGACTCGGCACGGCCTGTTCCAGAGAGGTGCGGGCGGCACGTGGTTCGGCGGCAGCCCTCTGTCGCCCCAGGCGTGGCTCGGCGGCGGCCCTCTGTCGCCCCAGGCACGCCCCAGTCGCCGGCGGCAGCACGGAGTGCGTGGGATGGCCCGGTAGGGAACTGACGCCGCCAGCTCACCCGGGACCGGCCGGGGCGCCGAGTGTGCAGATCAGCAACTTTGAGGACAGGCGGGCGGGTCTCGTGTGCTGAGATGGAGTCGGCTGCTGTCACTGGCAGGACCGGACTCGGAGCGACGACGGCCGTCTGTTCCGGCCGGCAGTTTGGCGGCGCGGGGCCGGGACCGGGGCCGGGGGCGGTGGCCCGGCCCCGCAGGAAGCGGGCGGTAACGGTGCCGGGCCGCGCCGGGTGGCCAGCCGAGCCCGGCGAGTCACCGCCCGTCCTCGACGCCGCCGGCCCAGACGCCCTCAGTCTGCACAGCCAGTGACCGCGCACACTGGGCCGGGGGCCCGGAAAAGTGCTAGAAATTATCTGTGATTGAGTTGTTGATCTCAGTGACAAGCAAACATGCTAAAAACGAAGTGGGGTTGCTTAACCCTCGCCGGACCTATTGTCGGACCCCCATCCCCTCGGCCGGCCGAGGGGGGAGGGTTGGTACGACCCCTTTTCGCCGTTTCGCCCCTAATGGAGCTAGAGCCTCGCGGAAAAAAACAAGCGTGTGCGCCGTTTCAAGACGGAACGATTGATACCCGATTTTAAGGTCCCAGGTAAACCGGTAACCTCTGAGGTGAAGTCAAAAGCCCAAGGTAGGGTTTGGTTTTTGGTAAATAATTTCGCAAAAAATGGCCGCAGAGCAGCGATTTTGGCACCATCGTGTTCGCCTGGCTCAGGCGCGTCGAATGGTATACTTTTTGTCCGGGTGAGGTCAACTCAAGGTGTTGACCTCGAGTCAAGGTCAGGTCAGAGCCCATCAGGCCACGAACTTAATCGAAGGAAGTCGTATTGCATATCATTCGATTCGGGAGGTCTTTTCGAGTCCATTGGTGGCTTTCCCGAGTCGCTGGCTCAATTTGATCATGAGTTATTGACGAGAAACTCCTATGACCGTAGTGACGTCATAAATGACGTCACGGAAGGTCAAAAATGCAAAAGTAATGCATCGGATCTTGCAAGGAGTGCATGAAATCACGATTCCGTGTGCTTGAGATAGTTTGAGATCATTCCACGCGCAAAAACAACAGTTTCCTTATTTCCCCATTTACTTTTAATGGTGAGGTCACGTGACCTCGGAGAGTAGCAGGCATTAGCAAAAATTGCGAGTGGGGCATGACAGAAAGATGATAAGTGCTTTGTATGGCATGGACATTTTTAGCGGCTCGAAATAACATTTCTCAAAAAGTCTAACTAAAGAGCAAGTTGTTGTTGATTATCACTGACTTGTGTTTGGGGGTTAATAATGACTGAATTTTTGAGTTTGGCCCAAAATTTTTGACAGCATTGTGTGCGTTGATCAATTCTGAGCTCAGGGACATATATTTTATTCAGATTATACGCGATTGTTTTTCACAACTTCCAGCGCTTTAAAGAGCGCCGGGCCTTCAGTAGAGCGGCGAGGTGACAATTGCCCCTACATCATGTCGTTTACTGGCGCATATCTCGAAAAGTAGCAGGGAAAAGCAGCAAAGCACCTATATGGAACGAAAGATGAGTAATCAGAGGCTAGTATAAAATGTTCATTTTTAGCCGCTCGAAATCACATTTTTATAAAAGTCTAATTAAAAAATTAGATATGATTTCTAATTACGTCTTGCAGCTGCTTGCAAAAAGCTAACTTATCTTGCAGAAAAGCGATGCAATATGTGAGAATGATGTTGGCACAGTGAACAACAGTGCCCTGAACTAGTCTGACAGGAAATTTCGCTCAAAACGACGATTGGTCAGCTAATAAATTACCACTAAAGATCATCATGAAAATCGGTAAATGTGGTGGCCACTAGAGAGTCTAAATTGTCTTGTGTTTGGTGACAACTGACGACCTCAATTTTGACCTTAGGGAAAAACTGGCATCGGAATCGTATTCTTCGATCAATTTGGGATTTAATAATACCTATTTTGTTCATATTGCGGACAGTCAGTTTGGGGGAATTTCTAGCGCTTTTTCGGGCTGCCGGCCTACAGTGCCGCGGCTCCGAGCAACTCCCCATCGCCCACCCAGCCCTCCCGCCAATCCCCTTCGTGAAGACCTTCAACGATCGATCACCGACGGCAAGGGACTTCGTTCCGAGCAGTTTCTAATTCCTATAATTGTTTCCGAGCCCTGAGCCGTTCAGTGCCTCGATAGGGTGTTCAGCGTTCACTATCCCGAAGACAGCCAGCGCCAGCCACGACCTCACTAACTGGGGCACTCCGCCACCGAGTTACTGCAAACGCTGCAATCCAGTCGACGGTGAAACAGGGCACTGCAGCTCCCGGAACATTGCACAATCGCGGCGGCCGCCGCTCGGGGGCCACGAACAGGCCGTGAGGGTCCATCTGACCGGCAGCGAGGCGGCGCCCGGTCTCGGCGGCTGCAGACGCGCGCGGCCCGGGTCGCTCCAGCCCGCGGCCGTGACCCAGTGTGACCTGCAGCGTCGGCAGGATATCGGGAGCAGCTGGCCGGCCCGAAACGGCCGACCTACAGCCTGACCTACCGTCAGCCCGGACCTGGCCATCACTGAGACGTCGGCTGGTTCCCTCCCAGGAGGAGACCAGCTCCTGTAGTCGGTCACCAGGCAGTCGAGGGGAGAAGACACTCCGCCCGGGCCCCCACCAACCGGCCGAGCTGATAAAAGTGTCCCACCAACCGGGTGACCTGCTACATTGTCCCATCGATCGGGTGAGGCCCGAGGGCGGGAGGCCCGAGCCGCCTCACACGGCTCGAGAGACCAAAGTTCGCGCGATGTTCAGGTCTCATTCGTATTCGTCTTTGACAGAGTGCTCACGGAACTAGTCCCTATGCACGCCGATAGCCGGTGCATCATTGGCCTTATCAATGCAGCCGCAGAGGTATGGCGCTTCAGTCGTGTGTTGTGCCGATAACAGCAGATAACGTATGCTTGTGATGACTTGAGACGGCCTCGCCGTGGACAACAGCACCGACGACAATGAGCTGCTCTGTGCGCCGCCCCCGGCGACCTGCGCCATGGCGCGGATTCACAGCGGTCCGCGCGTCAGCCGAGACTGGGAACGGGATATGTCCGAGACGGTATTATTAGCAATGCTGAAATACAGCGATTATTAACCGAGTAATGATTAATAATACCTATCTTATCTGAACTATCTTTCCGACCAGTAACAATAAAAACCTTTGAATTTATCAAAGTATTTATTTCATCTCATGAGGAACAGCAGCTTGAACGGCTGCGAACAGCTGTTTCGTGCCTCGGGTCGAATACCATGCTTTGGCGCTCGTCTGTCTCTGCTGCGCGCCCACTGTCGCTGGCACATACCTACTAGCTGGACGAGGACCACCCTTATAACAGCGCCACCCCTCCCCTCCCCTCCCCTCCCCTCCCCTCCCTCCGCCGCCTCTGAGGTCGCCCCCGTCCCGTTGATGCCCGAGCTGTGAGTTCCGCTGAGACCCGCTGTGAGTTCCGCTGAGGTCGGGCCGCGCCTGTTCCGCTCAGCGGCAGTTCGGGAAGCTCACTCCCTGACTAATGAACAGCCACTTACCAAGTAGAGGTTGTGTCAGTGTCATCACTGAGCAGATGATGACACTGACAATGCCAGCCACGACAAACAACGACCCGGCCCTTCAGCCAAAAGCTGCCGCGCGGCGCGCAGAGCGATGAGGGATGAGCGCTCCTCTGGAGAGGAACGGGTGTGCTCGAACGCAGGTGACCCGATCGATGGGAGCAGGACCGATGGAAACTCGGAGCCGTGGAAAATCACAGTCGAGACCGCTCCTTACAACAAGAAGAAATGATGATAACAGGTGTTATCCTTGATCGATACTCAAACTAATGGAAAGCTCCACACAACGCAGTTTCGTTCCATGGCCATGAAGGTTAAAAAGGAATATCCCAATCATAGGTATGATTATTCGCAATGAGCGTTTCAAAGGTAAAGCTTTCCGCTAATAATTAATCACGCCTACTGCACTGCAGTCTTTCTCGATGAGTCTTCTTAAGAGAAAAATAATGGTTTTAACCCTAGAACGCCTAGGGGGGGGGGTTGTATCAACCCCCCCCCTGAGGTTTTTTCGAGGTGCACGCTAACCGGCTTGTCGTAGCGGGCTGAAATTTTCAATACCCTCTGGGGCAGCCTTTGCGCATCTTTTGCCGAAAAAAAATTGATCGGGTCATGTCAGGTCACGGAGTTATGACGTCATAAGAGGTACAGCCTCCGGCCGACAGTTACCAAACGTGTGCGCCGAATCCCTAGGTTTTCTGCCGGTGATACCCACATTGTTTGATGGATCATGATGAAACTTCCCATGCATGTTGGGGCAAGCATTGGCTATCGTGTGGTGCAAGAAAATTGACCGGGTCAGGTCAGGTCACGGAGCTATGACGTCACAAGAGGAACAGCGTCCGGTACTATTTTTGAAAAGCGCCCGAACCACTATTTTGCTAATTCTTGTCACCTCAATGGGAATATGCAGCAATATTAGGTTCTATAGGGAGCAAATGGACCTCCCAAATCCAAAAATACAATCAGATTTCAAAAACTTAAATTTTGATTTTTCGAATTTCTGCCGCCGACTGTGACCTTGCCGACTTCCGGCGCTCCCAACGCGCCATTTTTAGAGCTAGGGAAACGAAATACATACCAAACGATAGACAATTGATCAAGGAACACGATAGTGAAGGTTTCAAGTCGATATCTCCCACCGTTTTGCCGCAATCGCCGCGGAAAGTTGAAAAAGTTTGATTTTTTCGGAAAATTTGACCTTTGACCGGTCATAAGTAGGTCAAATGTTGACCTAGGACCAAAAAATATACCACCAATCGCGAGATCTCGTTGAGAGCAATCCGTTGGTTTTTTCCGCTAAGCTCTACGACCTTCCGTTTCGAAACGCCAGGGGGGGGGTCGTAACAAACCCCCCCCCCCCTGGTCGTTCGTGTTATGAGAAATGGCCTGGTCGTGCGAGGGTTAATAGGCCAGCGCCAGTAGCATATGAGGGATAGAAGCACGAATGAGAATATGTCCGAAAAACCCGAGTACCGCGCAACCAGTGCAGAGTAGGGCCAGGGCAGCGGTCTCGCTGTGTTTCACCTACGTAGAACCATTGCAAGGACACACATTGTTCTGATGAGTCTGGTATCCGCTGAACAAATCGAGAACACCACGCTGAATCGAAGGACCAGGGCACAGCACCACACAGTCACAGCATAACAAAACTGTCGGCGATGGAAGACAAACGGCTGAGCACAGAACATTGGCAATAGGCATGCAGCTGGCGCGAGACCTACCTTGCGAGCCGGGCGCGTGCTGGGGGTGCTCCAGGCCCGACTCAGCCCGCGGGCTGTTCGGACTCGACTCGAAACCGCTCTCCTTGTCACTCAGTTTGCCGCGGTCGGTGGGCAGCTTCTTCCACCGTGCGGCGCGAGCGGCCGCCCGGGTCACCATCGAGTCCCTGCTCACGGTGAACTTCTGACAGGCCACCTGAGGCATGGCGGGCGTCACCACCAGCCGCCTGCTCAGTCCGTCAGCTGCCGGCACTGGGCCCTGGCGGCTCGCTCACACGTCTCACTGGGTCCGCCGCTGCGCGCCGCGCGGTCCACCCTCTCCGAGCGTCAGCGGCCGACTGGCGGCCGATCAGCTGGTCGGCCGGCCCCGACCACCTGATTGGTGGGGCTCGGGAGAATTGGGCCGACCGCGCGTGGACACGTGAAAACTCCCCCCGCCCGGCGCTCGGAAGGTCATGTTACCCGCGCGTGGGAGCGGCACAGGGGCGAAACTGCTGCACATACGCACCAATGCGGAAACCGGAGACCCGCGCCAGTCGCAACTGATAACATGATGATGATGCAAAACATTTTTATTCGTATCATTTGGATAAGGTTTCCGTGATTACGTAGCGCATCACATAGACATACAAGTTTTCATGGAAAAGGTACGAGCAATCGCGGAAAATGTGCGGCCATCCCGGTTGGTTAGGCCTTGAGTAAGGTATTCACAGCTTTTTAAATGAAGCATAGTTTGGCAGAAGCCGCACACTATTCCAGTATATACCGACAATCACAAAGTAGTGGACATTACGTTGGGTAGTGGGCAGTCAACACGCCTACAATCTTCATACATACATACACAGCACACACACACGCACATATACAATGTTCATGCATCAAATTTTAACACATTCAGGCCGCCATGAATATCATCCAGTTATGGATGTTATTCTCGAATTCGCTTTTAGGACAGTTCCGTACAAGAAAAGAAAGGCTGCTCCACAATTTCGAGCCATAGTAAGACAACGATGTCTTTTTATGTTCGGTTTTCGGGTCGAGGTCAAGATTATTCCATTGCCTCGTCAATCGTTCCGATTGTTCTACGTTGAAAAAAGAAACTATTGCAGGTGGGGTACATTCTGAAAAAAGCAAGCATTGACGAATGAGTTTTAGTGCCGCAATATGATATTCAGAGCCAACGTTACTATGCCATGCTAATCTGTGAGCTTCTCTTCCAGTGGTGCGACGTGAAAAGTTAGTTGTTTTGCTTGTTCCTTTCCTCTGCGTTAATTACAACTTCCCTAAACCACCAAAACACAAAAAGGTGTTGGACACGAATCAATTAATGACAAAATGAGCAGCCACGGACTCCAATAGAGCGTCGCTCGTCACACTTCAATTGCTATGCTTAATTTTTTAATTATTTTATTAACATAATGTGACGATTCCATGCTTTAGGTAAATGCCATTTTTTTCTTAAGCGTTTAGCCAACTGAAAGTGTGGCAAATCTATGCAGTGTTAACCCTATTAGTGGCAGATGGGTTGTTTTCATCCACTCCTCAGGTTTTTTGGGAACATCTTCAAAACGGCTAGAGCCATGGGTAGAGCTTTTCCAGGAAAGTTGGTGGGGCAAAAAGTTGTCAAACCGTCTGATTGTCAAGTTGAATAAAATGCCACACTGATTATATTTATATCATTAGAGATGCAATCATAGGCGCGGGAACTACTTTCAGACTGGGGGGGGGGCACACCATAATGGAGATCAACCTAGGGTACCCCCAAATCTAGTTTTCTCACCGGTTTTAGGCCACTTATTTTTCAACCCTTGGCTTTTTCAACAAAAAAAGAAAAAACATTTGCAAAAAAGTGCGGTATTTCGTCTCAAAGTTGTGGGGGCACCGCCCCCACGGCCCTAGAGTTGGGGGGGCAAGCTGCCCCCACTGCCCCCCGGCTCCCGCGCCTATGGATGCAATATGTTGTATTACACAGACCATTGCAAAGCTCCTCAATGCGGAAAAGATTGAGTTGCAAGGCAACAAAGTTCTACAAATCAGCTAAAGTTGGTGGGGCAAAACGCTTATTGGTGGGGCAAAATGGGAAGTTGGTGTGGCAGCTGCCCCACCAACTGTATAGGAAGCTCCGCCCCTGGCTAGAGCTAGCAAGCTGACAGTTTCTTACTTTTCTTAAAACTGAACTGGACACATTCCCTAAAAATTTCAAGTTGATACCTTTATCAGAGGCGGTTCCAGTGGGGAATTGGGAGGTCGTATTCGTGAAGCGAGTCATTTGGGTGAAGATCACGATGCTCATGCATCATAACTGTAGTTATTCATTCTGTAGGCATATCAACATTACTTGTATGTATTACAAGTTCACAAGTGAACAAGGGATGGATCATTTGCGGTTTCAAGAAAAGGAAGGGAGGTCGATTTCACCTCCCAACTTCGGTGTCCTGACGCCACCTATGAATATCCAATCTAATTTTAGTCATTTTATCACACGTTTTTGTAACACGATCAGACCATTGCCAACCCGTTTCGGCGGCAGCACCTGCAAAACAACCGATTAATTATGTATTTCATGTGCCTTCAAAATTCAAATCACCCGTATCCGTCTATTATTTTTCCAAATACCTATTTTTTGTGATGCATGCCAATTGCTGATTCATGCTGCATCGATCTACAGTTGTTGTGTAAAAAAAACATCTAAAATTTCCAGTTTTTATCCCCCCCCCCACTACTGCCCCTCCTATTTGCGTTTTCGGGACTTTTTTGTTTAAAATGTAGATCTCGTTGAGTGGAATCGAATGCCGTTCGAAAATTGAGAATCGGCCGGTTATTCATTCATTCATTCATTCATACTTGTATTGAGGTCATCCATGGCAAGTTATGGCTATTACAACCTCTTGTCAGATCTTGTAAACTTGTAAAAGGAATGTCACACATACACGTATACACTTAGAGTGAGCACACACACAAGCACGCACACACCTGCACACATCACACACATGCCTGGATACTCTGTACGTCAGTGTGGAGGTAAACTGACGAGATGACGTTTCAGGTGTCGACCGAACGGCGGCACGGGCAGCCGGACTAGGTCGCGCGGCAGATCATTGTAAAGCTTTGACCCTCGGCAGGTAAAACGGCGGCGGCCCATCTCAGTCCTGGACCGGGGCACTGACAGTAGGTCGTCCTGCCGCGTGGTGCGCTCAGTGCCCACACGCGCCGCGGCTACAGTGGTGAGTTCAGCTGCCAGCTGCTCGGGCTCGCCCGAGCGCCACACTTTGTGGAGTGAGCATAAGGTGTGGTAAGAGGCCATGCTCTCAGCGCCGAGCCAGCCCAGTCTCTTGAGTAAATCTGAAGCGTGGTCGTATTTTCTGCGGCCAAAAAGCATTTTAGCGCCATAGTTAATAACTTTTTGAATGCGAGAAAGGTTACTCTTTTTGCAATTTCCATAAACCGAGATGCAGTACCGTAGCTGTGAGAAGACCAGGGCATGGATCAGCGCTGAGAGCACAGACATGGGTAGGTGCCCCCGCAGATGCGACAGGCCAGTCAAAACTCCAAAGCAGCGGCTAGTAACAACAGAGACATGACGGTCCCAGCTCAACGAGGGATCGAAGAAAAGGCCTAAATTTTTTGCCTCGGGTTGGGGTCTCAGAACGTGTTCGCGATAGGTAACTGTGACGTTGTTTAAAGTGCGCAGATTTTGGGGGCTACCCAACAGCATCAGTTGAGTTTTGGCGGCATTCACTTTGAGTCCATTTGCTCTAAACCAAGAGTCAAGGGATAAAAGAGCATTTTCCATGCGGAGAACGACTTGATTAAGTTCGGATTTTTTGCCGCTGACAAGAATTTGGGTGTCGTCCGCATATTGGATAACTGCAGCATCTCCAGCAAATAGGCTTAGGTCGTTCGCAAAAATGCAGTAAAGCAAAGGGCCGAGAGATGATCCCTGAAACACGCCGATGCTGTTGGGTAGCGGGGTGGATGTCTGGACTCTGCCCCGGGCGTCAGTGAAGCTGACGCTCTGGGTGTGGTTGGATAAATAAGCCGAGAACCAAGAAGTATCAATGCCGTAAAGAGATAACTTTGAGAGGAGTTTTGAGTGGTCTATCACATCAAAGCACCTGGTCAAATCCAGCAGGCAGAGAAGGGAGACTTCACCACGATCGAACGAGGTAAGGATGCGGTCTGAAATGGAGATCAGCGCGGTTTCGGTCGAGTGAGACGGCCGAAAACCGTGCTGAGTTGGTGAGAGGAGGTGGTTTTCTGAGAGGTAGGAATAGAGTTGCTGATGCACAGCCCGTTCTACAATTTTGGAGATCACGGGGACAATGGATATAGGACGGAAGTTTGCTGGGTCAGAATGACTGCCGGATTTATGAATAGGATGGACTAGGGAGTGTTTCCAGGATTGGGGAACGTCGGATTGGGTTATGCTGGAGTTGACCAAGTGCAGGAGCACCCACCCCACCGAGTCAAAACAGGTACGTATCATGCGTAGGTCAATGCCGTCATCGCCGCTGGCGCGCGTATTGTTCATGCCGAACACAATGGCTCGCAGTTCGCAAAGCGATAAAGGCGCTAACACGAGAGCACATGCTCCGACCCGCGGCAAGCGACACGGCACATCCGGTGTCGGCCCAAGGCGCTTAACCTCTTCCGCCACCCGAGTGCCTACACTGACAAAGTATCGGTTAAAATCGTTGGGCAGAATGTCCGGCGGCTTACAAGCAGCTTGTTTACTGCCGACAACGGGACGGATCAGTTGCCACATTGACTTCCTACCGCCGTCACGGATGCGCTGCTCGATATCGTGGCGGGTGTCCTGTCTAATGGCGGAACGCACCGCTCGGTTAGCCTCACGGTACTCGCTTGACCCGTGACCGAACTCTGCTAGCGCCCTCCGTCGGCGAGTTAGATCTCGAGATATCAAGGGGGGTCCTAAACAGCCCCTCCTTGCCACTAATGGGGTAGCCAGGAGCCTACCACTAATAGGGTTAAGTGAGTTCACCTCGCTTATTTGCATTGTTACTTTTAGCAACAACATAAGATCTTCAAGCAACAAATTATCTTCACATCGGCTTTTCACGATTATGATATGAAATACAAAGTCCTTAGGCCAGTTTTAACAACATAAAAATAGCCGCCTGCCGGTATTTCTATCTCTACGAGTAACTCATAACGCGAGAAAATAGCCGAGTGATGTGAAACCATACCAGTTACGCTGACTGATATCATTTTTCACATCGATGGCCATATTTTTTCGTCTACACCTTTTTAGCCGCGATTTAAAACAGTTGAACTCCATTTTAAAAAAGCTGATCTGTGATTTAA